ACAAAATCATAGACTGATTTTGACATTTTGTGTGTGTATATATATATATATATATATATATATCCCTGATTACACTCCCAACATTTTCCTGCTCATTTGGTAAATTTTAATTGAGAATCAAAATCAAAACTTGAATCTTGAGAAGCTTGAAATTTTACACTTCATCCCTGTGTTTTTATTTATCTATCTTGAACTTGAATCTGTGGATGATAGCAGATGGGTCGCAAATGTGGACAGACAAGAGAGGACACAATGAGACTCTCTACTGGGCTTATATGTCAATAAATGTATTTTTAAGGTTAGAGAGTTGTATATTGTCATGTATATTTAAGGTTAGAGTGATTTCAGTTATTAAATCACCATCAATATGGAATTAATTTTCTAACAACAGAATTATTATTTTTTCATTAAATCTTGCAGGACAGAAACTGTTTTGTATTTTACGACCAGAAAGACCTTGAGAGTTAGAATTAACATCTGCAAGATTGTTGTTTACACTGTGAACATTCAATCCTTTGAAACTGAGAGAGGAAAAGGAGTGTGTTGTCATTAAAAATTCAGATACTGTTTTGGATGTGATAGAGAGCAAAGACACTTTTAAACAGGCCCTTGGAACAGGACATGACATATTTTGGCATAGTTTTGAAAAAAACATTACTGAATATACAAAATTGTTCTGAAAGTTCTGAAAATTTAAATAAAGCAGAACAAAGAAAATCATCATGTGTGTCTTCCTTTAATTTCTTTAATTCCTGTGAGCGTATAAGGGTTGTTCAACTACACAGGATTTGGTATTACACTGAGTAAGTAAACTGAAACTAAAATAGCAGAATATTTCATTATATTTACTTTTTGTTTATCGGTGCACCCTGGGAATTTCTAATGTGAAACTATGCTGTGGATCAAGCAAGGTTTGGAAACACTAGTTCACAGGTTTATTTTCAAATAAAAAAAGATGTTATTCACCCTCCCATCACTTGTTACACCATGCATAATATATTCAGTAGATACTGTGTGGTGGGAATATCTTTTACTAACATCTGCGCAACATTTCTTTTAGTTTCCTGTCTTTTCTTGTTATTGCAGTATATGTAGTTCAAGTGTGTATGGCTCCACCATATTGATTTAGCAGAACCGCTTGGAAAACATGTTCTTTTGTATTCCCCCTGAACTATTTTTGCATTAAGGCGGATGGCTGGTGCATTGTTTTTCTCCACAGTATCTGTCTGTGCCATCACTTTTAAAATGGGGCTGGGAGATACAATAAGAAAAAATGGTGAAATTGATCCCCCTTCCTTTTTATTCTAATGGGAGAGGAGATCACGGTCAATTATGGGCCTTTTCTTCTTGTTGTTTGAGAGGAAGACCAGGGGGAGCAGTAGAGTGAAGGAGGGAGACTGGCTGGCAGGTCTGCTGAGAGATTTGCCACCCAATCTATGTATTCTTGGCTTATATTGATCTGCCACAGCTTTATAATCAGTGGGTCGATGTCATCCAAAGCACACTGAAATACTGCCAGCAGCACCATTAGTAGTCAGGCTTTAATGCAACCAGGGCTAGTCACCTAGCAAAGAGACACTGGACTCATAATGAGAAGTCAAATCATCTACATTTTCACCTGGCTAATGGGATAAATATAGAACAACATCCATCTGAATTAAAAAGTCAACGATGAGTCGAGGAGTCAAGTTGACGTAATATAGAACAACATCCATCTGAATTAATTTTCGACCATTCTAAAAATCGACCATTCTAAAAATAAACATTCCTGGACCATGTGACTTAATGAAAGCACAGCATACAAGGGTTCAGGTGGGGAAGGAGTTTATACGTCAGAGGTGGAATGGACTAAAGGACAGCACAGAAAGAGGCAGTAGAGGGCGAGACACGGCGGGTGTTAGAGGAGACACGGAAGGTTTTAACGACGAGTAATTAAACCTGCTGTGACGCTTTTTAAAACAGAGGAGGCTGAGTTGGAGGAGATGGACGGAGTTAGACATGAACAAAATCAGAAGTACAGACTAAGTTAAGACAGTCTTACACAGTATATAAAAGACCCGACAGACTGGTGTGTAATTGATCTCAGTGCAAAATTAATCAAAACCAATTTAATATAAAGCAGGACCTCTAGTCTCTACGTTTTGATCAGTCGAATTTCAGTCAAAATTTCCACGGCTTTAGTCGACCAAGACTTTCTTTGGTTGATTACAGCCCTTCTAATTTCATTGTGTGTATATTTATGTTCTTCTTCTTTCACTTCTTTTGTTTTTTCCCATTGCACAGATAAGGCACAAAAACATTGTTGAATTCTTTTTTCTGTGTCTCAATGTCAAGAGGGTGAGTTGGGGGCCACAGTTGAACCACCACACTCTCTGATCCTAATCCCAACACATTATTGTTGACTTTATACTCGGTTTGTGTTGTGCTGTCTTGATGTGCCTTTAAACTGAAATCCCACAGAGTTATTCTAGTCACAAAGATGTTGTTTGTGCAAAGACCAATTAAAGTATCACCCCAGTGGGCTGGATAGGCTATGTATGTCCTGGAACCCAGATTACAGTGTGACATTCTCCCAGCCTGACAGACATTTGTGTGACAGAAAGATGAAGGGGATGGGAAAAAAAAGTCCTCCAAAAGAGAGCGAGCATAAAGGAAATAATCTGAAAAGTTCAGTCTAATTATCTACAAACTACAGAAGTGGGTTGCAGTTATAGCTTCTCATGTAAGCACTTTAAAAATGCTCTCAAGTAAAGAAGAATGTAGAAGAAACAGCAGAGGAAGTGAAGCCTGGTAATATACACTGAGTGGTAGGGGAAGGATGAATGAGGGTATAATGGGGCAGAGACAGATCCATGTGCTCATAGAAACTTCTAGAAATGTCTTTTTGACTTTGTGACTATTACTAAGCCACAGAATTTTTTTTATAAAAATTCTCTCTCTCTATTGTCCCTGCAATACAGGCAGAGCTGAATCCAGTCCAGTGCGCTGATTCCTCTTTCATGGCTGTATGTCGTCTTGCTGACAGCAGCCTGCCACACAATGTGCCTGGTCCGTAGCTGCAATGAGGCTAATCCAATAGTGCACTTTATTTTTATTTTCACTTGCTGCAGATGCACAGGGACCTCACACAGAAGAGATGATGAGAGAATTTCTTTATCCTGCTGCTCAGTGCAGCTTAGCACATACTCGGGAGCCTAGAATGTGGCTCCACCACTTTAGACTTCCTACCCTCCCTCCCCCTTTTTTAAATTGGTTCACCCTCCTGAAGCTGTCCCTGGACTGCTCTATTGGGGGCTGGAGTACAGTGTGTCACCATGTGAGATGGGGATTAAAGGGAGACAGCACTCAACACCCAAGTGTGTGCTGGTACTAGTTAAATGTTTTCTTAGACAAATATATATATATATTTATATATATATGTATATATACATATCAGTTAAAACAGCTTTAAACTGCATGCTCTTCCTAATTCAGTTAATATCAATGCTGATGTGTAATGTGCATGCTCTTCCTAATTCAGTTAATATGAGACATCAATGCTGATGTGTAATTTTTTTTAAACAGTTTTAATTAACTTTTGTTAATTTTGTTAAAATTAATTTACAAATTATTTAAATGCTTGCTACTACACTAAGTTTAATTTTCATGACACTGATAACAGTCTGTACAATCTAGTTACCCCCTGTGCTAGACTTCAGTCAATTTTCTTTCTGCATTTCAGGTAATGTGAAACCCAACATCATTTTTTATTATTATTTTCCAAAAAAAAAAAAAGTAGCTAGTGAGAATTATAAAGGTTTTTTTCTGACCTACATTTATCGACTCACACGCCCAGATTCAATAAAGCGGTAATACATAGGGAGGCTAAGTATTGCATATTCTTCCTCATTCTTACACTTGTGGAGGATCTTGTGTCATACAGTACAGAACGGTGCAGGGTTGTCTTGCATATCCTCCACGTATCCTTTAAAATACACTCTAACTCTTCTCATTTAATGATGTGGAGGTGGACAGCTTCTCTTACAGAGGTGCTGCTTTTGCATTTCCAGTCTAACGTCTACACTATATACTCAGACCTAAGTGAGACAGCAGAGTGTGTTGTCATTGTTATTGCCTTAAAGTGCATTTTGATCATGGTACCAGTGGGTCATCACAACTCTGTGATCGCTGTAGCATGAACCTACTGGGAAGTGATTGAAGGGGAGATTTATTTGAATTAAACAGAAAGTTGCCCTCTTCTTGTGGACTAAGACCTGGAGGTGGTTTCTATATTTTCACTAAAAAACAATAAATATGTTTATGTATGAATGTCATTTGGAAAATAATAAATAAACACTTATTTCCTGGTTGCTCAGTTTAGCCCAATTACTATTTTTCTGTCCCAGACCAAATTGTGGCAGGGTTGAATTAGGGAGACCATGTCCCCTCTGGTGACCCCTGGAGGCAACAGCAGCTGAAAGTGATTTTGCTTAAAAAAATATTGTGCGTTTTAAGAGTGTTGTATAACAGTGATCAGAAACTTGCAGGCCCACAAATATCTTTATAAGTATGAATATTTGAGGATTTGGCTTATGTATATTAAGAAGTATATCTATGCAGATACATATATAGTTACACATAGACGTGATGAAGAATTTTAAAAGATTGGCTGTGGTAAGTGCTTTTTTTACACGACCTTTGGTTCACATCATCCATCCCTCCTCTGACTTGTCCTCAAGAGGCTGCCATTAATTCTGCACAGCCCTCTGCAGGCTTCATCAATGGTAATCACTGCTTACATAAATTTAGATTTGGCAGCTTTGAAAACTTGAAAGAATTCCATCTGTTTGTCCGCAGCATGCTGAATCGAGTGCATATGCTGGGCAGTAGAGGCGGCTGGTGGGCCGTACTTATAACTGCCTGACATGCTCATGTAACCTTACATGACACAACACTGTTATATTGTGCAACGTTTGATGGAATATAATTAACTGTGGCAGAAAAGAAAATCTGACTTTTACCTGCAACACCAAGCTTTGGTCGAAGTTGTACGCACTGGGTCGTCCCTCCAGGGTGGAGAAAGCCACATTTCCTCCACTGAGTGGGGAGATGTCACTGAATTCATCTGTACATAAGGAGGTCCTCTCATCATCTCCCGGATGGATGAAGGCCTTGACATCCTTCCCATAGGTTTTGTCACATGATGCACTATAATACTGGTATGGCAACCAGGGTCCATTCTCCTCAGTGCGCTTGAAGATGGCAAAGCTTTCCGGTCGACTAGTGTAGAATTTCAATCGGACGTAGGTTATCTCAAAGGCCTTTCCTGGGGGGGGAATAAAAAACACATGATTAGCTTTGAATGGTGTCATTGACAGGGTAGCTGGTAAAAATACATTCAGTCCTTGTAGTCTATTGTTAGACTGTGTGAGAAAGACTGCGGAGCGATGGTTTTAGATCCTGAAGCACAGAACAAAACTGACATAATTTCATTAGAGAAGGAAAACAATGGAGAACATGCCTAATTTCCTCTCTCGCTAAGCGAGTTAAATGAATGTCATTCCCCCTGGAGTTGAAGAATAACGCGGATTATTTTTCCATTATCCAGATCATAATAAACCTCAGAAGTAAAACACAGCATCGACACAAACAAGCCAAAAACATCCTTTGTCCTGGTGGAATTGTAACTCGTTGACATGTTAGTGCAAAATCACAAGGTGGAACAACCTTGTACAACATGGTTGAAATGAAACATTTGGTGGATAATGGTACAATTTGTCTTGTTACCAGATGTAGTTTATTATGCAATACTCTAAGTGCCATGAGATAGTGGTTTTCAAAATAGGGGCTGTCAGTGGGTGCCAAAGTAGCCTCAGAAAATTGGAGGGAAGATAAGATATAGATATTATAGATAAATATTTCTTATTTCTTTTTATTACCATTTTTCCTGAGCTGTACAATATGTAAACAGGTGTAACCTTAGATTCTCACATTTTTACCGGAACTCACCCCGTATGGCAGCTGCTAGTTCGGCATGGCAAGGTCATAATCTGTGTAGACTGTTATCAAGCTGCTCTGCTTCTCAAGCTAGTGTACAGTTAGCAAGCACATGTTCTTTAACAATGTTTATGCTTAACATAGAATGTAATAATTATTGAATATTGAGGAATAAAGTAAGAAAATACTTACTTAAAGTTGATTTTTCAGAAGCTAAGTTTTTTGTAGGATACTTGAAAAAGAGAATGAGGAATTAATGCTCTAGTAGATTGAGACATCTTAGGGTTTCAAGTTTCTCTAAAATACCTATTTCTTCTCTTTAGTGTGCAAAAAAGATTTTCTTTTAAAAATGGGTCTGCGCATCTGAAAGATCTGGAGCAAGAAGAAGAAAAACTAGGAATTCCATTTGCAACACTGCTTGGGGATTTAGCAGATCCGACTTACTTGGTCTGTAATTGGTGTTGCATTGTGGGGGAAGAAATGTCTGGCAATTGCTTTTGCAAGGTGCATAACGTTCGGAAGCAGGACTCACCAGGGCTGACTCTGACTTTCCAATGGTAGAGTGAGGGAATGCTTTGCAGGTCATGTAATTGGTGGCTGGATTATCTTCATTTTTTATGAGAAGTACTTTATTTATTAACAGCAAAATGCAGAAATTATCAAGAGAACAATAAAACCACTGCTTACAATACTTGAATTCCTTACAACTCACGTAGTGGAACAATGAAGATTTACTGTAGAACTTTTAGAATCCAGGATTATCCACAGAAATGAGTCTAACATACATAACAGGAATCCTTACACATGGGCCAAAGGTGGTGGGACACTGTTAGTGATTTATGTCCCTCAAGAGACTCACGGGAGAATAAATCAGCAGCACTGAAAAGTATAAGACAGCATTTGACACCTACATTATAAAATATGTTGAGATTTTATGATCTTATTTGGGTATAGTGTGAAAGATGAACTACTTTTCCTTGAACCTCAAGTAAAATACAGCATTAATTCTTTTTCATTTAAGTTTCATTTCCTCTGTTTGTCTAAAGACACTCCGTTTACGAAAGACACTGGAATCAATAGGCTTATGTTGCCCACATGCAGAGTCATATTTCCTGGGTATTAAAACACACACACACAATACCATATCGTTTTAAAAAGGATTAACCAGGCAGGTACAAAAACCCAAATTGAGATCATATGATACAAACAGAAAGACAACTTCTGACACTGTTGTTAAAATCTATATCATTATATAATAAGTTAGAGTCACTGTGCATTTTTAGAATCTAGGATTTACACACTCCAGTACAGTCATAATGGCATCTGTTGCTTTCTCTGCCAAGTCATAGACAGTCAACTCACTTTGCAGCAAAGTCAAATTACACTCTCTCTCTAGGATCCCACTTATAATTTGGCTATCGTTCAGTCCTGGCATGAGAAAAAGTACATTATACCACAGAAGAAGATGTAACATTTGTGGGACATCTTAGTAATGAGACAGACAACTAGTTTCAAGGATTCTTCTATGAATGGAATGGAATGATAATTTATATCTTTTGTTTAATGTGAATTGTACATTATCTTCTGAGCTAAAATTGTAAATGTCTCAATGTGTGTGTGTGTGGCGTTTGGATGTGGGGGTGCATAGGATACATAGTATACAATGATGTGCCGATCTGCAGTATTGCTACATTGTGCCTGCTTTTTCTTTGCTTTATCTTTTTATTTCAAGTGATGGGGACACTAAGGGAGTAAATATCAGTGGACTACAGACCCAGGAGGTGGCAGTTATGTATGAAAAAAAGTTCGTAAACGCAGCTTCATGCCTCCACAAATAATTTCAAAGCAGTTCACAATATACACAGAAAGACACATTAATGAGAACACTATTTGACCACAGCCTGACCACACAGTCTTTAAGAGTTAATAGGCTGCAGGATGTGAGAGAACATCCTCAAAGCCATCTTGACACAGCTGCTCAGGTCAGCCTGTTCTGAGACAGGCACAGACTAAACTTGCCACAAGTGCATGCTGTTGACTCAAATATTTACAATCTGTTTACTTACAGCTGGGATTTTGTCAGATGCACAATAAACTGACTGGATTTATCTCCTCTAATATCATATGTGTCAAAGTTAATTTCATCATTCTTCCCTGAGAAAGACTAATGTCGTCAGTGTGTGCCAATACTGTGGTTTGAAGAGCATCAGACAGCGACAGACTACTATCATTGTCTTATATCTCAAACAGGATGTTGCTTCTCTCCGACTGGTTTCAATGAGAACCAGCTGTAGACAACAGCTCATGCACGTGTGTTTCTCAACAAGCCTTTGTGGGAAAATATCTGACCCCAATTCCTCAACACGCAAAACAGCCTGCACCCCCCTCGTTGCCCCCTTCTGTCCTCATTATGTTTTGTTTACTCCCCTTGAAGGAGTCTTCTTTCTTGGTCTGTTACAGACACACTCTGACCTGGCTGCTTTCTCAGGGCTGTGTTTATCATCTCAGCATTTGTCCGTCTTTTCCTTTAGAGACCTTGTTATGTTTGGCGAGTCACTGGTGCCCCCCCCCACCAGCAACCCAGATGGATGACAGAGCTTTTGGATGCGGACCACAAAAAAGACAAACATGAAAAATCGAAAGGGTATTCATGTTATGAAAATGGTCTTTTTTTAAAGAATGCTTTGAAAGAGTTTTTGGTTGAAGTGTGGAAAGGGGCAAGGGTCATGGTGCTCTGGGTGAAACTGACTTGTGGTTGTGTAGTATTTATGGGAAAGCTGGCCCTTTCACCAAACGTAACACACCAGACATAAAAAATCCCAAAGCCTGAAACATTGTTTGACACCTGCTTACTATTAAAAATCAATATTCCACACTTAACAGACACTTCCTGATCCCAAAGCATTTGATGTAACCATTCATTTCTGTTCAAAGCCCTGACATTTTCAACTTCTGTCATCATTTTGTCCCAGTCTCTTGATCTTTTGAAGCAGAGCTTTGTAAAGAGAACCCCCCAGACCCTGTCGCCTCTCACCTACAGATGAGGAAATATGAGATCAAAACTGTCAAAAAATGTTTAGTTTTAAGCAAAAGCTGAGGTCCCTGCTGAAAGTCCTTGTACAGTATTGAGCAAAATATTGAAATAGTGTAGAGGTTAAGATGCTAAAATATGTCGGGAAACACATACCGGGACTTCTTATATCTACACTTTCTATTATTTTAAAATGTTGTCAGTGACATAGGAACAGACACAGACGTTTTTTTTTCTTTCCTGGCGACGTTTTTAGGCAAAGCGCCGTAGACCTAGCATTTAGCTTCATCAATATGGCGATTACAGTTGGAGAGTCGGACTTACATAAAAGATGGCTGTCTCCTGGATCACGATCAGGTACGAATTGACTTGTCGCTTTAGTTCCGTACATTGACCTAACAAGCCAATAAAAGTCTGTGTACATCCTGTCGCTGATGCCCGGTTATTTTTCGTTAAAAGAAAAAGCAAACAGTTTAGTTAATTTTCGCACTAATATAAAAAAGAGACGTTTTTGAAGTTGCTGAGATTTAAGAGTGCTGCCATTTTGACGGGTCACAGTAAGACAAGCACAGGTGATTAATTAAGGTAATGATGGTGACTTTCTGTTAACCTTTGGAATAAACAAATACATTGCATACATTTTAGTCAACGTAATGACGCCATATTAGACTATATTTAACAACAGGACTTCGACAGAATATTTTATTGTGAAAAAGAAGAAAAAAACGTAATCTGACCAGAATGGCTATTAGCATATTTTTGATGTCCTTTGTTTTCGCTTTTAATGTGAAGTTAGTGCCTGCTTCTACGTTCTCTAAAAAAATTAAAAAATGTATCTAATTATTTTTTAATTAGATTAAATTGATTTAATTATTTTGTACCATGTCAATGGTAAAGGAATCCTACTGAATTTGACATGTATTTTCATGTTGCAGTTGAGTGCTTCTGTTATGTAAATTGCTGTTAAACAAAAAAGTAAAAACTGTAGTAGTTTAAAAAAAGTAAAAGTTAAAAATGTAGTAGTTTGACACCTAAGAGTCATTTTTGCTGTTTGTTTTTTAGGTTTCAACCTGCAACAGAACAAAGTACTTCCCAGGCCAAAGCAATATTGAGGCAGTAAAAAGGTAAGTCAAAAACCTCTAAGAAGGATGCTTACATTTCAAAAGATGTTATATTAAAGATGTTAGAGGTCTAAAACTTCTTTGACAAGTTTATTGTTCGATTCTTAACACTCTAACGACAGAAAGTCAGCACAGATTTAGAAAATGCACCAAATATAATTTGATGTGATGTGTTTATATTTTTTTTTAGAGAAATTGCTTTGTTCTGTATTGTTTGCTTTTACCAGAACCTTTTGTCTTACCTTCTCGTTACTAAATAGAATTCACACCAGTAAGAACTGCTTGTAACATTTTGTTTGTTAAAAAATTTGTTTGTAAACTGAGAATGCAGACTTTTGCAGATAAATATTTGTACCAATTGAAAACCACCCAATGACTCCGTTGGGTGCTTCACAACTATCTTGTGACTCTGAAAGTTAAAGTGTGTGGTGTGGTGGTGCAACTTTGAAGACCGAGGAAAATATTTTAATTGGTAACTTAATGTGGTTATTTTGAAGTTTTACAAAAATCTAGATCTTAGTCACTTTAGTGTAATATTTGAATATTTGATTGGTTCTTTTGCAGTGAGCATTAAACTCTGATATTAAACATATATCTAGAGGGTGCTACTCAATATTTACTTTGAAGCAGATGATGATTTGGAATGCAAGTTATATGTATATATATTGTTGTGGTATTGCAGCTGAATGTTGTCAATGAAACTCTTCTTGGCATGATCATATTCTTCAAGAGCATTTTTTTACTTTTAGATATACTGTACATTATACCCTACCCTATGTGTTTTCTCTATGTGAAGAAATAGTATGTGATACAAACGTTACTTCATGTTGTTTACATGTATTTGGTGTATATACACTAGGCAATTTATTGTTTTCACAGCCAGATTTGAGCAATTTGAATATAGGCAAAACAATTAGAGTAAATAGCAAGGGAATTGCTGGATTTTAGCCTCTCTATGCAAATTATAAAAAAAATAAAAAAAACAACAAAAACAGAAAACAAACAATATACATTTTATTTAGTTCAGCAATAAAGAATAGCTGGGAAAAAATATTTTTCCGGGCCACCACGATTCACTGTGAGCTCTAAAGTCAATGTTAAAGAATCATTTACCAACGCTCAGCAAATAAATGCAAATGTAAAAGGCAATTTAATGAAAAAGAAATGTATAGCTTCTTTGTAACCTTAATTGCCATAATTTAATTCAGTTCCGGTGACAAATGTGGTCAGTTTCTTATTTCAGCACTTTTCCAACAGCCTAGTAATGAGATAATGAGGATAATGGCTCAGGCTGGCCTCACAGAAGTTAGTGAAAATGTTTTTGAATGCAAATTTTATATACAATACGCAATGGCTAATGTATGTTCCCAAAGGAAAAAAGCAAAAAGAAACATTGGGCTCAATATTGCTAAAGTAATACAGTGTTATCTGTGTAATGCATTTCAAGTACATACAAATTGTTTTCATTTTACAAGAACAGTCAAATATTCCACTTAAATGTTATTAGCAGTGAATAGTTACAGTACTTGGGTTTCTATGACGTACACTGTTGCCAATGCTTCAGAATTGGATCAGACACGCCATAATAGTCTACTTGTCTTCATTAAAGTACTCTAAACAATGTCTAAGGTCCTTATAGTTCATAACATAAGCCCCTCATAAGGTTTTAGTGCTAAATTTATTGGCGTTCTATGCTGAAGTCAGCTTCATTTGAGTAATGACACTGTCGGCAGTGCTCAGCATTTCCCTCGTCAATGTACAGCCTGACCAAACAGAAAGAATGCTATATCCTTTTACAAAGGATTATGGACAGTCGTAATATCATGTAATGTTATTTTTCATAGCAAGACTTAACAGCAGTGTCAATCTGTTTACAAAATCAAACTAGCATCAACAGAGTTTTAATAATGTACCTAGAATATTGATTGTCCACTAGATTTTTAAACCTTGTTAAAGACACATCTGGGCTAAACATCTGACACCTTGCTGGTTCTTTGTCATTCTTTACTAGTAGTCCTGTTATTTGTGTAGTACTATATAATAGCTGACTGTATTTCTCACTGGTGATTTTAACAACCTACGAGTGTCCAGATCAATTAAGACAAAAAAGTGGCTACAGCATCATACACCCCCTGTAACACACTAAAAATGATTGAGATTTATATATGCTTTTATAGTGCAATGGTGTCAAAAAATTGTCTGAATTTAAAAAAAAAACATCCTTCACTGCATTCCTGTTTGACCACAGGTACAGTTGAATGTCTCAGTAACATTTCATGTTATTGAATTTATTAAATTCATCAGACGTGTTCTTGTGGCTCTGTGCTCTCTGCACACTTGAGCCATGACTGACGCCATAGAACACAGAAGACAGCATACAGTAGAGCTGTGATTGAATCCACACCTAACACAGCGATAAAGTGAAGTGAGGATGTCTTAAGTGTGGCAGAATGGTTGTCCCTCAAAAATGTTCACTTCATCAAATCTGGCTCTTTGGAAAAAGCCTGGACACCCCGAGATTATAGAGGATGGATGGTGAAATTAATGTAATTTTTAGGGCGCTTAATTTTGAGTAAGCGCTATTAGTTATAAAATTGAATCTGATTAATTAAATAAAATCAAATAATATGGTTTATGAATGAATTTTAGCATTCCTAGTTTACATTACCAACATGTTTTAGCATCTTCATAGTTACTTAAGACTTCAATTTGTCCTCTTATGTGCTTGAGTGGGAAATGTGAAGTGAGAGATATTTAAACAAATAATTTTGCATTACCAATAGATTTAGCAAGATTAAAAACAGTGTGATTCAAAAGACTAACATAGACCACAGAAGGAGAAGGAGAAAAGCACAATATTCAAGCCGCCCCATATTTATACCCAGAAACGTGGAAGACTGGGAAGTTTAATAGATTAAAAATTGAGACAGTGTTAGAACCAAAGTTTGCTGTGATTTGAAAGTACCATAATGAAACTGGTGGCACTTAAGTAAAATACATATAATTGGCTTAAACAAGGGAAGATTTATTTAGATGAGCCTTTTGTTGAGTTGCATAAGTCTTTCCTGGCCCTGGCACTCACTGCATGTCAAGGCATCATATAACCCCAGACTGAACTGTTTAGTCTTTGAGGAACATCTGTTTTCTATTTAACATTTCCACATCAGTGGTTTTGTAGTGCGTGAAACAATATAATTCATCACAGACAACACAAAGCTTTGATTTAACCTACACAGAGAGACTGTTTGTTTTTAGTAAAAAAAAAAAAAAATTCTCATCAGTTTCTAAACACATTAGTACACGAAAAAAAAAAAAATTCTCATCAATTTCTAAACACATTAGTACACATACATTAAAATAATATATGGAAATATAGTATTATGAACACTAGAGTAATGATATGTATACATATCAAATGTCCAACTACCATGTCAGTTTAAGAAAGTTAGACAGAATGTATGCAGGACAATGAAGGAGGGATGATTTGCTGTGCTCTTACCAAGATGCAGGGTGATGTTGACAGAATTGGGGTACTGGACACCATAGAACATGGACTGGCTCTGCCACCATGTGGGCTCATCATTCCTGTGGAAGTCTGTCAGAAGGCTGGAGTTGTGGCTCAGTTCTGGGTCTAATGCATTGCATAAGTGGCATGAGCGCGTTGAGCCTGTCTGCATGCAGAATTCCTCGGGTGGAGACCCGCACACGTTTGACACTTCCACGGTGCGGTTAAAGGCAATGTTTTCAAACTTGGGCATGCAGCGGCTTGGGACGCCCTCCTCGTCATAGCAGGAGTCCATCGCTGCCCAGACAAGCAGGTGACAGTTGAGATGAAATGAAATCAGGAAAACCAGAAGATAAGACGTCATAGCACAATATGATTCCATGTCTGTGAGAAGTCAACTCACACCTAAACTCTCATGCAATACTTTGACACAGTGTATGTGTCGAAGGATTTATGGTTTAAGAAAAATAATCCAACCAAGGAAAAAATGTCCAGTTTGAGAGCTGTGTCTTTGTGCTCTCTCTTTCCTGCCTGTTTAGGACTCCAACATGTGTTCTCCCTATGTGAGGGGGAACAAAGTTTTTGCAGGAACTCTTTTACTAGGGGCAGCAGGAGGGAGATGGGGGCGGGGCAGGGATGGGTGGGGGTTACAACATCAAAAGACTGATCCTATAAGTTCTCCATCTGCTGGTCGACTTGAGCACTACATCACTAACACCTTCCAGATTATCATCCTGGAGTATCTACTGTAAATGAGAGTCTGGAAACACACCTGGACATTACATTTATAGCTCTGAATATTATCTTTATAGCAACTAAGATACTTGCCAGATTGGTTGGACGAACAAAAGGTTTTACTGACTGGTGATTCAGGGAGGTAATAAGAAGGGAAAGGTTTCAGCAGCCGCAGGTTATCCTCATAAAGGGACGGTGAGCATGATTTTTTTTTACATAAATATATAAACATGTACAGTAAGTACATGAGTCAATTAGATACTATTCACTGTGATCAGGTACCCTATCACCTCACCAATAGCAGCACACAGCATTCTGGAGGAGAAAAGAAGATATTGGGTTCATATAAATATCAGCAGATACTCTAAGTTGCAGTATCAGTATTGCTATCTAACCAGCCCTAGGTTTTACTTACAACACCCTCCCTGACACAACCCAAATTGGCATTGGGGAGTAGTTGGAGTTGAATCTTGCATCTTATAAATGCAACACCTTGGTCTTTTTTATGTCGCATGTGTTTGATTTTTTAATCACATGCCTCCAAAATCATATGGCTTCAGTGGAACACATTTCAGATGTCTATTGTCTGCCCATAAATCTTAACACTAATGATGGTTGGCTGGACATTATGATTATCAGTAAACTCCCAGTGATGCAAGATTGATCTGTATGGTGTAATTTTTTTAAATAAATTTGCCAGTTCAGTTTCGGCAGTAGGACTTACTCTGTCCTAAAAACATTGAACTGCCATCATACGTTTTTAATACAACAATGTAGCACTAGGTGATTTCTTACCAATGCTGTGTATGACTCCAGTCCAATCTCTGTTACTGATTCCATTTATGTGTTGACAGTCATCCAGACACTTGGTGACAAAGTGGTGCTGTAGTTGGAATATTTATAGAATAGATGTTAAATAGGGTGTTTGAAAATGAGAAAAACATTAATAAATGACAGCAACAAGAAAAATGTTCTTCTTGGAGACACTGTGTGAAACACAGAGCGACAGGTACTGTGGTCAGACACATTTATCCATATGTTCATTTATGATCCCAGTATAGATTTACTGCAAAATCTTTTTTTTATCTCATTGTGATTGCCTTGATTTATTGGGGATCTTCCAGTACTTACAGGCACATTGTAAAAGGAACCACATCAATTTGCAATGAAATCCTCTGCTGGCTGTGGATGACAGCGTACTTGATTTCAAATCTCTTTGGCTGGATGTGGATCAGTCTCTTTGATGAGCAATCTAATGCCTCCACAAACAGTCTTTTATTTATTAAGCAGGTCTGTTATTTCATCACCTGCATAAAGACAAGTGCTCTGACGAATCAGCAAATTAAGCATTAAATGCTCCTGCCACTGAGAACTTTGAAGAGAGGCACATAGACTAATCATCGGATTGAATTAATTAAATTTTTTTCCCAAGAACAGAGACATTTTTTTTTCAACTTTAATGCTCAGCTCAGTTCATGAGTTGACTGTATAAAGTCAGAATGGAAATCTCTCACAAATTATCTGTACAGACAAGTTTGCCTAACTGTGACAGAAAACAGATTTTAACCACAGAGTATCTGACACAGTTAAAGTCACTGTGCTGCAGTCCCTATAAAGAATAGTCTCTTTAAATGTCCAGTACCAATTAATAACTTGTAGAACATAACAGTAGATGTAGTTGCAGGGATCTAAAGTCATATACACAATGTCTTTCGTTGATCTTGTGTTCATAACGTGCAATTTAGTACATCTTCAGGAGGATTGTGGATGCCTTCTCTAATTCATAAAATGGGCTTGTGATACTGGAATAGTAATAGTGGAAACTGTAGGGGCGCTGTTGCTCACTATAGCTCATGTGCACCCATAAAAAGAACAGCAAAAAAACAGACAACGACAGATCATCTACAGAATTAGTGAAACCAACACTGCCCTCTAGCAGATGTATAGCTGAACAGTCATATGAGACGTAAGGAACACATGAGAGTATGTTAGCCATCTGAAGCTATCTGCCTGATTTTGCTGAGATTCATCAGTTTTTTGCCCAAACCTAATCTGGGTCTATGCAAAAGTTGTGACGATATCAGAGTGGACAAATTTAGTTTCCAATTTTTTGAACTAATCAGACAGATGCCTTTTAATCCCTGTGATTTTTACCTTTCTACTCACATCTTACTTCACCAGTTCCATGTAATACTTGAACCTCCACTCTGACCTACCACAATCTTGAGTCCTAGTCCCTCTGCACCTTACCTTTCATTTTTGTCTTAGTTCCACAGATCCTTAAGCCCCCACCTGCCACCCACTTCTTTTATGCTCAGGATTTCTGCAGCTGGTTGTCATAGCATGGAAAGCCTGTTGCATCAAGACTAGCATGTATGAGGCCTTTTTTTATGATGGCACAATGTGGTAGCGATGAGTTAGACTTTTAAACAGTGATTTGATGTCACAGCTGTCAGCGCTTAACTAAGCAATGCGGGGGGCTGCTGCCATATTCCGACAGGGAACGCAATATCTGACAAACTAATGAGCACTGCACATGTGCCGTATCATCACAGGAATTTTCTGCCATCACACAACCCATGAATGAGTTTCCTGTGCTGACAAATCCCTATTGCAGCCATGTATAACAACCCTGTTTGTGCTGTGTGAGGAGTTTGGTTACAATATTGATTCACACAGCACTAAAACAGTACCAGAGCAGAAATGGCCGGCTGTTTACAGTGGTTGGTTTTTTACACCATAATTGTAATAAAAAATGGATGGAGACGCTGTATATTATTATTTGTCCCAAATCACATTATCTTGCAAATATTTTATATAAGCTACGTATAAATATTATAAAAAGCCATAAACAGTTATTTATTGATGTTGTAGCATATTTCAGCATTTTCTCCCCAAACTAAAATGTTCCATACATTCATTCAGACAGAAGAAAGCCTGTATATTCGAGTGTCTATATTATCAGTTTTATCATTACATTCTTACCAATGTCCCAAAGCTGGGACTAATAGATTAGAAATTGGGCAATAACAGATGTTTGTCATACAGAAAAATAATTGGTCTGAAAGAAACAAATGTTGTTCATAAAAGAATCCACAATCATCTGTCATTTCTAATCTCTGCCAAATAATGTAACAAATGAAATGTGGCTCTCAAGCATTGGTGGCATACTAAAACATTTCTTCCGAAAATTGCTTTTTACTTTTTGTAATTCTCTTATTCCAGTATAATCAAAGTGAAAAGTACCTTTCTACCTTGCTACATTTATGTGAAATAAATGAGAGTAAGAATTCTACTGAACTCAACAAAACATTTATTTTTTACATATGGAAATGGCATAAGACATTTGGCATGCAACTTGTTTAGTCTCACTAAAACACAAAAGAAAAACGAGAGAATGCTGCCTAATCAGCATCAACAGTGATAGCAAATACTTCTTCCCTGTTGTTTTACACGACCTGAAGTGGGTTCAGGTGTATTGAGGTAACAGGGCATCATCATGTTGCCATTATAAAAATGTTATTCCATTTATATTGGTAAGAGCCAAGGAATGAAAACTGCTTCTTGCATATTTCTGCGTTTTCGGTAAAGGGATTTTATTGTAATATGTAACCTATTTGATCAAATCAGAATATCCTCGGACTTCTGATAACCAATAAAAGTTTATGTAAAGAGATTATAATAATCAACTACAATGACAAGGTATTAAAGCACAGAGCAAATTATTGACTGCATTTAGGTACTTCTTGTGTGCTAATGACCTGAGCCCATCTTGTAAAAGTTGCTCTTACTTAGAGGCAGTTGTTAGAGATCTTCACTGCAGAGTTCTGAAGGTAATTTAACATTTAATTTATTACTAATATAAGTAAATTACCTTTGCTCATCAGCAATTAGTCAATAATGTGTTAACTTACAGTAATTATTTTTTCAATGAGCGAAATGTTCAATTATCTTGCCTGACACACCCCTTGTGGTAGTGCTTGTATCGTTAGCTAACTGGACAAATTTGTGGTGCCCAAAGTGACGGTCAGACCAACCTAGGGGGCGAGAGGATACTGATTGTATTATACCACAGTTGGGAAATTTGACTGAAAAATTAAGTTGAGTTTGGAAGCAAAAGCTCTGAATGTTTTGAAGTCTAGGGGCTGGGTTAAAGGCCTACCTACCAGAGGGTGAGAAGTGAGAAACACACCTGTGTCTTTTGTTAAGCAGCAGTGGGAAATGGCTTGCAGTAAAAAAAAAAGTAGATTTGTATGCACGCCGCTGAGATTATTGCCATAAGTGCTGGATAATTTTGGTGGAAAGCATGTCACAGAGTTGGAGAAAGCCATAACTACCTTTCATTTTATGTACACTGGTCGTTTATACCTTGTTCTCTCTGTATCAAACCGAACTTCGCTACAGCAGAGCGTATTTAATGAGCTCCATAAAACTTAAACCTTTGACTGTAAACTCTGTAATTAAATGAGCTGTGGACTGAATTTTAAGCTTGATAATTGAGTTTTTCTAACAGTGCTCTCATAGGTGCATGCATTTCAGGTCTAAAGTTTTACATTAAATTTAAAACTTCTTTCACTTATTAAATAACGATTTTCTCTGACACCATCTATTGTACTAATTTACCAACAGTTTGTGCATATCTAAATGTTGTGAAGGTATTAAAGTAATGCACAGGTCTTTTCAGCTGCTTGATATAACGCTCACAAGTGAAAGTGAAGGGAATTATTTGTCATTGTGACACAGCACACCACTGCACGCATAACGAAATGTGACCTCTGCTTTTAACCCATCACCAAATTGTGCAGGGGAGCAGTGTGAGGGGACGGTGCCATGCTCAAAGCACCTCAGCGGCAACTGGTGGACTCAAACCTGAAGCCTTCTGGACCCAAGTCCGCTTCCTGAAACACTAAGCCACCACTGCAGTACTGTATGAAGCCAAATGCCTTCAGTTTGCCTTCAGAGGTTAATATTAAATATTAATATAATATAAAAATGTAAATCTCAGCTTTGCTAAAACAGAACAGAATAAAGACATTGATTTAACAAGTTTAGTCTTTTCTAAAGTTGGTTGAGAGTAGAATATATGGCTCCATGACAGCCCAACACAAGGGTGCCATCAAGTGAAGAAAACTTGTGTAAAAGATTTAGGGAGCTGAATGCTGGACAGACACCCTGTAAAGAACCAGGGATTGTGGATATTTATTGTGTCTGAGCTGTTGTTAAGCTGTTGTCACTGGGCTCCTGAATTTGCAGCTTCGTCCCTGCTCTTGCATCCTCCAGAGATCCTTCCCTTTATTGTAATATCAAAATGGCACATTTTCAGGCTGACGGTAGTGAAGACCATATTTTCTTATCTTTCTGTCCACCCTTCTTCTTGAACCCAACAACTCTTTATTCTAATCACCCTAAGGTTTAGTAATTAGTGGACTGTTGATTAAAAAAGGGCTTTGGAGAAAAAAAATATCCAGCAATTACCAAACACATTAATCCCCTTCAGTGGCTTCATTAAAATGCTCTACGTAGCCTGGCTTCAAGTTTTACATTTAAATTTGACTCTGAGAGTTTACACTGCAATTTGCACTTTTAATTTGCACCTACCTTAATTGGATATAGCTGCTTTGTGCTCCAGTTGGTGGAACTGCTGCCCTGTTCTCTTCTTAAAAATTCCCAGAATTTTAGGAACTATGGAGACAGGTCCAAATCTGCCTTCCAAGCCCCCATCACCGTTGTTAATTCATGTTGAAAATTCTCAATTCTTTCTACTAATTCTGCTACAAGAAGCTGCACATTTACTGTGAAATGAAGAAAACATTTCTTGCGAGAAACTAAATTATTTTGGCTTTGGAGGTGGGATTAGTTGGCACGACATCCTAGGTGTGAAAAAGCAAGAATAAATCTCAATGTGCTGTAGAAATCAATTTTCCCTTCCAACAGGAAGGGAAACTTTGCTAATGGTGTC